ATGTTTTCTGTTTTGATAAATACTTTGATATTGAAAGCTTATTCTATATGGTTTATTTGACGTGTTTTAAGTCTTGCATGAGTGGATCAAGGACCTCTTAAGGTCAAACAAGAGGCTATGAGAAATTTGGGTGCTTCGGTAGCCATGTGGGCATGGGAAAATGAGAATTTTGAGAAACTGTTATTTCACAAGTGTGTATCATAGCTGATCAATTTAGAAGACTTTCTCTGATGAGAGGTGAATCACACATTCACCTGAACTGGCATCCCAACTGTGTATTTCCTAAGTGACAGGACAAGGGGAAGCACACGATAAATATTTGTGGTGTTCTGGCATCAGTGCCTCTGATGCTTCGAGGTTAAATACTCTGTAGCATTCACTATCAGCCTTGACATTGATTCTCTCAGGTTATGATTTGCTCCGCTGTTTAGTGGTCCCTTTTATCCTTATCAGCCCAACGTGTTCACATTAATATCCATACTTTCATATTTTAGTTATGGCATTTGAAACAATCTCACTTTTGAAATATAAACTGTGTGATTTAGGGATCCTGTATTCCTATTTTACTCAGTATATTTCCATCACGTTGCTGTCCTAGGCAATGAAAAGGAGATGCCAAAAAGAACCCTCGAAACCTTAAGTAATTATTTTCTGAGCCAGGCATGAGGACTCAGCTTGATACTAACACTGCATGAATGTTTGGTTGGCCCTGTCATATTTACATATAATTGATGACATGTCCCCTTTGCTTTGTAGGGCCTCCTGAATAACATCCTTCTTTGAAGGTAATTATATATATTTATTTTTAATTAACTTTATATTGTATAAAATATATATAATTTATTAGTTATTTTCTTTTAAAACTCATTCAGCCTACCACTGAAATGGAAGATCCTGTTGTGAGAGAAGCAGTACAAAGAAAGAATGTACAGACATCAAGAGCAGGTACATTTTCAATACAAATGGAATGCTGGAAGTAAGTACATGAAATGATTGGAAGTACTCACATTCTTCTTACCCCTAATTCTTTTTATTCTAAATTGAATGAAAGACATTGACATAAATGTTATTGTTGGTATCCATATTTTAATAAAAATAAATTTAGAAGTATAAGAAAACAAGATTTTTAAAATGTGAGTTTTAACTCAGATTGTTTCTATTTTAATGTTTTAAATAGCATAACATTTCCAATATGGAATTTTTAAACTTGTCAGGGATTCAAAGCAGTGAATTTGGAAACTCTGAGATATTTTCAGTGTCTTGTGTGCTAGTTGGAGTTCTGGTATTTACCTAAAGGAATGCTTTACTTAGATGTCAGTTTCTGTATTAACGTTAGAGACTATCTGTTAATGTTATTACACCGATGATCTGAAAGCAATGAGATGTTCTAATGAGCAGGCTGTGTATGCATGTGTGTGTGTATGGGTGTGTTTGTGGCATCTTTGGTTATTAAAAACTAGGAAACTAATCATTCATAACTGCAAGACAGTTTTAAAATGGTGATTTTGAGATTTTTTGGTATAAAAGTTTTTTTAAAAAAAATAATTGCATAGAGGCAACCAACGTCATGAACATCATTGAGGCTACCAACATCATTGGCTGTTTTCCATTTCAATACCTTTTTGAAATTCTTAGCTATATTGTGATGCTCAGAAATAACATGCAGAATTTTTATTTGTGTCTTAAAATGGAAGGTGAGTGGTTCTACACTTTATAAGTCTTTCTGCCACTTTCTTTTGTGTACTTTGTATTCTATTTTCCAGATGTATCCATATTAATACAATTAGCTCTGGTTTAATTCATTTTACACGTTTCATTGTATTCCCTTATACCACTCTACCACATTTAATTAGACTCTCCTGTTGCTGATAAATGAAGAAAAAAAAAAGAAAAAGAAAAATAGGCTGGGCGTGGTGGCTCACACCTGTAATCCCAGCACTTTGGGATGCTGAGGCGAGTGGATCACGCAGTCGGGAGATTGAGACCATCCTGACCAACAAGATGAAACCCCATATCTATCAAAATATAAAAAATTAGCTGGATGTAGTGGTGCGTGCCTGTAGTCCCAGCTATTCAGGAGTCTGAGACACAGAAATGGCTTGAACCCAGGAGGTGGAGGTTGCAGTGAGCCAAAATTGTGCCACTGCACTCCAGTCTGGCAGCAGAGCAAGACTCTGTCTCAAACAAAAAAAGAAAAGGAAAAATAATGTCAGATTAAAAGGGGCTTTTGTTTAATCAGTTTGTAACTGTGAATATTTACTATAGGAGAGTTTAAGGCTGAGAAGTTCAGACTGCAAGCATGCACTACCATATTTAACAAATGCCCTTAGAATTATGACTCATGAGCCTTTAGCCTGTGAAGTTATGACAATTCATTTCTCTAATGAAGTTTACTGTTCTCAAAAAAAAAAAAAAAAAAGACTGAAAATAACAAATGACATTCTTATTTGACCTCTTGGACATCCTCGAATGAAACTGCAACTTACTCGTGTCAAAATTTGGAAGCAATGTTTTGAACAATATATATACTTTGTGAATGAGCCCTTGATGATGAAATGGCCTTTCAAGTTTTACTTTTGCATTTTCTGCTCTTTTTCTTGACTTGTCTTACAAAAGCTTAAATTCAAGTTTTATTTCTATAGAAAGCAGGAATATAATTTTTTAATATATTTCTGTCCTGTCTCATGGCATTGTGAACTCTTCAGACCTAGTGTGGACCTAGACTTATTTTTACATGGGAACAATTAGGTTTGTTTCTTTGCTGCGGTTGTTGTTGTTGTTTAGACAGTCTTGTTCTGTGATGTAGTTCAGAGTGGATAAGCTCTTAAAGCAGTAATATTTCTAGTGATTTTTCTGTGGGAGGTAAAATGGCAGGTGAATTTGGGCCTTGTTATTACAAACTAGATTTTATTGTGCTTCTCAGACTGGCAGAGCACATGCTGTGCTGCTCAGTAGGGCAGAGCACATAGCTACAACTAAGTAAAACACCCAGCACCTTCCCTAAGGGTATTGGCCAGAGTAACACATTAATATCTCTTGAGCTCTTCTCCACTGGCAGCTGGAAAGTTTTTGCAAGAATCCCTGTTTCTGGTCTGAATCCTATGTTTTGCTGACTTCTGGTGATAGGGTGTTTTATCCTAAGCTGAACAGTTTTAACTGAAGAGCTAGAGAGAATGTGTTGTGTGACAACAAAGTAAGTGCAGTAGTTCACCCTTAACTGTGGGAGATACATTCAAAGGCCCCCAGTGAATGCCTGAAAGCACAAATAGTACTGAATGACTGGGTTTTTTTCCCTATACTTACATATCTATGATAAAGCTTAATTTATAAATTAGGCACAGTTAGAAATTAACAACTAAAAATAAAATGGAAAATTATGGTAATATGCTGTAATGAAAGTTTTTTGAATGTGGTCTCTTAAATATATGGTATGGTTCTCACCCTTTTTCCTGTGATGATGTGAAGTGATGCAGTACCTATGTAATGAGATGAGGTGAGGTGAATGATGTAGGCATTGTCATATAGTGTTAGGTCACTATTCACCCCCTGACTTTAAGTCAGAAAAAAAGATTATCAGCTTTGAGTGTTTCTGGACCTTCAGGCCTTAATGATATTGATGGCTGGATGCAGGAGGAGACCATGTTGATGACTAATGGCTGGACAGCATATGCAGTGTGAATGCACTGGACAAAGGAATGATTCACATCCTGGGATGGATAGAGGGCAGGAGCTCAAGATTTTATTGTGCTTCTCAGACTGGCACACTAACACTTATGACTAGTTTATTTCTAGAGTTTTTAATGTAATCTGTTTAGAATACAGTTAACTGTTAGTAGCTGTAACCACACAATTCAAAACTGCAGATGTAAAATCTGTGTTTGGACTTTGACTCATTTCTTGGTGTACAATTCTTAAACTCCTTAGAATTTCCAAAGTGATGTCTTTTGGTATGCTAATAATCGATGGCTGGAAGCTCTTAGGTAGATTCAGCATGGGAACTGGTACAATCCTGACGACATGGCTGATTAGAGGGTTGAGATCTTCTGTCTCACTCTGCAAATTCTGGAGAGGAGAGAAGGGCTGAAGGTTGTCAGTCACCAACAGCCAGTGATTAATTAGTGATGCCTATGTATTGAAGTTTTATAAAGACCCAAAGGGACTGGGCTTGAAGAGCTTCCAGATCACTGAATACATGGGGGTTCCTGGAGGGTGCTATGTCCTGAGAGGGCATGGAAATCTCTGTGCCACTAGCCCCATACTTTGCACTATGCATCTGTTCATCTGTACCTTTTGTAATGTCATTCATAGTATACTGGTAAGTGTGTTTCCCTGAGTACTGAGCCATTCCAGCAATTCAATTTAACCCAAAGAGGGAGTCTTGGGAACCAGAATTTGAAGCCGATTGGTCAGAAGTTCTGGAGTTTCAGACTTAGGACTGATGTAGGGAGGCAGTCTCATGGGACTGAGCCCTTTACCTGTGGAATCTGATGCTATCTGCAGACAGAGTGTGAGAACTGAATTAGATGATACCCAGTTTGTGTCGTCTGCAGAAGTGATTGCTTGCTTGTTGGTGGGGAAAACCTCTCCATGTTTGGTCACAGAAGCCTTCTTTGTTGATGATTGTTGCTGTGGTGTGAGAGCAGAGAAAAACATGGCAAATGTGTCTTTTCCACACATATGGTAGATAAGGGGTGCTACTGTTTACTCTGTTTTAACTGCCCTCCTCATATTTTGGTCCAGAAATCATGCTGTTTGACACTGGTCACTCATTCCATCTGTTCTGCTAACAAACCATTTTCAGCCAATTTCATCGGGTTTGGCTAGGATGACTCGTATACTGCAGTTCACTTGTAGATATCAAATTTTGATAAATTTATTCTTCTTTGTATTTAATAAGTACAAAGTAAGGGAAGTAAGAGCTCTTACTGCATTAATTACATACCAATAGGTATAATTTATATTGTTCTAATTTATATGTTCCCAAAGGAATACTTTGTAACAAAGCATCAATCCTACAAAGAAAAATAATCTAAATCATGTATACAACTGTGCATACTTTTTTTTAATGAAGGTAGAGTCTTGCTATGTTTCCTGAACTGGTCTCAAACTTCTGGGTTTCTCAAGTGATCCTCCTTCCTCAGCCTCCCAAATAGTTGAAATTACAGGCATGCATCATTGTGCTTTCTTATGGTTTTAATATTCTATACATTATTGATTTAAAATGCATTTTACCTTTTCCTTTAATAGATCCTGGGAGTTCTGATGAATCTGCAGTCAGGTAGGATTTTACAGATTTAAAAAATTATGTTAACTAAGAAAATACAGATGGAAGAAACTATTATCTATTGAGTGTTGTATTCTAGGCTAAATACCCTATTATGTGCTATGCATTTATCTCATAAAGCCATCACGTGTTTTCTTATAACCTACTGTTTATTAAATAGGCAACTGTGGTTTAGAGAGGTTAATTGGATCACGATCCCATAGTTCACAAAGTAGCTGACCCACAGTTTGACCGTCAGCCTATCTGGCTTTCATATCTTTTCTCTTACTCCTCAGTACAGATTGAAAGAGATATCTGTGCAGTACTTTGATCAAGGTATAGGTCTGAATAAGATTAGTCAGATTATTTTAATGTCTAAATTAATGAGTTTAAATAAGTTAAACTCTCATTTCAGGTTACTGTCAGAAATGAGGTTAGTCCTTGAGTTTGTCCTAATAAATCTGACAATTTTTGTGGTAACCAGCATCTTTTTTTAAATTAACCATCAAAGCCTTTAAGGCACAGTAAAGGTTTGGCCATAGGACTGGAAGTTACACAAAACCAAGATTTAGCAAGTCTTGGAGAGAAATTATTTAACTTCCCAGTTTTGTTTTCCCTGTAGGCTAGTATTTCTGCCTACTTCCATAATGCTTTTTTATTTTTTGTTTTTCTTTTTCCATGACTTTTCTTCCTTGGTGTTTCTTTGGTTTTGAAATTCTGCTGGCTATGTATTCCCAATTTTCCTACAGACAGAACCAAAAGCATACAGAATTACAGAAACTTAAGGAATCTTAGGACAAATTACAATAGCTCTAGTACGTCAATCTGTGTTGAATGTTCTGGTCAAATGATTTTCTAGAGAACTTGAGACTCGGAGATTAGGATGCTTTTTTCGGGACATAACACGTGGTAGAAATGAGATTTGAGCTCACTTTAAAGCCCAATACTCTCCCTTCTTGCTTTATTCTATTGGCATTTTGTTGTCGTCATTGTTGTTTGAGACAGAGTTTTGCTCCTGTTGCCAGACTGGAGTGCAATAGCACAATCTCGGCTCACTGCAACCTTCGCCTCCTGGGTTCAAGCAATTCTCCTGCCTCAGCCTCCCATCTGGGATTACAGGCATGCGCCACCATGCCCGGATAATTTTGTATTTTTAGTACAGATGGGGTTTCTCCATATTGGTCAGGCTGATCTCGAATTCCTGACCTCAGGTGATCTGCCCGCCTCAGCCTCCCAAAGTGCTGGAATTACAGGGGTGAGTCACCATGCCTGGCCTGGCATGTTTTAATAATACAAAGGGGGAGTGAGTCTGGTGAACCCAGTGGATAGAATGAGAAAGGAATTAGCTGGTGAACCCAATGGAAATGGCTAAGAATGGAATGAGCAGGGGAAGGCCAAGTTTGAAGACAAGTGACACTGGATACAGATTATTCAATAAGAGATTAGAATGTTGGGATTTATGACAAGTCTGATAAATTATAAAGATGAAGGACACAAGCTACAAAGGCATATTAAAATAGAGGGTTCAAGGAAGCTCTAAACAGAATGCTGTGCTCTTTTTAAATCAAGAACTGACAAACTAAGATTTTTGCTGTAAGATGCTAAGACATTTGGAGACAGTGAGAGCAGTCTCTACCGCAGACAGAAATGTGGTATCACTTAATTCCATCCCAACTTACAGAGAGGTGGCTTAGAGCCCCTTGAGTACTGATGGGCTGGAGATTGCTGAACTACATAGATCTGTGGCCCAGGGCAGGTATCGCCTCGTCTCTGCCTCTTTCCCCAATTCACCGATGTCCTTCCCATATCCATGCAGGCTGGGTCAGGGCATCACTGGCTGTCAAATCAGTCATGAAATTCAGCTGGGTAGTTGGAGGTGTGTCTGTGACGGTAGTTAGTGGCGACTCCAGTTAGGTTGTTATTCAGGAGGAGGCATCTAGGGCACTGCCACTCCTGGTCATTTGAGGCCATCCTTACAGGAGTCTGTGCTTTCATGGACTAAAGATTTGAAGATTGGAAACTGCCATGAAGCCCTGCATAAGTGGAATCTGGGAGTGGGAACCCATAGGAAGAAAGACATTCAGACAGTATTTAGGAAAATAGAGGTACTACTGCCAGAACTGTTTTTCCAGCAGTCTCTCTCGTTGGATATCTGAGTGCCTATGAAGGTTTTTAAGGGCTTACTAGTTTATGTGGACCAGAATAAGGTAGGATCTATAGAGTGAAAATAATTGGATTTTTATAATTGGTAATGTTTTTATCTTTCTGGGAAGAGTATCCTCAATAAGAAAAATACACCTTCGTTATTAGACTTTTGTACATTTAGCTCTCACACATTTCAAATAACAGCAGGGGATTCTCTGTACTCTTTTAGGACAAAGGAAAGCTTTGGGACCTTCTTAAGTGGTTTTCATGCTGAGGAACCGACTGCCATTTTGAAGTGACACAGATTGGTCTTTTAACCAGAGATAGATAATGGACAAGAGACAATGGATCTTTCTACCTTGTTTTAGGTCATAATGTTCCTTCCAGTTTAGGTGACAAAAGTTATGTCATCCATTAACTGAATTTCATGTTCTGCCTCAGGACAGATAATTTGTGAGGGTAAATTACCGTCAAGCTCTGCCAATATATTGGCTGTCACTATTTGTTATGGAGCTCAAGTTCAGTTTTCATTTAATATTTTATAGAATTAGACAGCTGAAGGCAGAAATAGGTAACCAAAATTTATTTTTAGAACAGAGGCCATATTTTAATTGTATCAAGAAATGTTTAATATACAGACGGCTGACCTTTTCACAGATTGTGTTTTTGTTTATTGGAGGGGGAAGCTGAATATGAACTGGCAATTTAAAAATTTGTTAAAAAAAAAAAAAAATCAACTTGCTGATTTTTATTGTATATTTTTGCTCTAAAGCATTTTCCAAGAAACTGTGTGTGGATTCATGCCTAAACCAGATGATGAAGACTTGACTGTTACTACCAAGGTAAAGTAGTCTCTTGTAAAATGTTCTCTCAGTCAACTTTTGCATAGTATTTACTTTTTTAAAATTTAGCAGTGGTTTACCCGTAATTGCTTTATGATGGTTATGGAAAGTTGGTCAGAGAAAACCATAGACATATGGCTAGTTGATTAAAAAATTTTATTTAATGTTGGTAACTAACAAAAGATTGATAAGTACTGTGACAGGGTGGGGGCTGAACAAAAATGAACTGGAAGACACATAGCAACAGAAAAATCACCTCAGGAAATGCTTTCCCCAATGGAGAAAATATGAAATTTTGTTAAGGTTTAATTAGAGAAATATTAATACTTTGACTTTTAAACCATACTAGTGTGACATCTATGTTTTTGCCAGTATAAATCTTCAGTGGATCAAAATACTTGTGGTAGTTATGGAATCTCCCTGTCACCTTTTAGTTGAAAAAGTGTACAACAAATAGCATATAGCTGTTTTCTTGGACACTTATTATTTGGGTATTACATACTCCATAGGAGAGATTGTTCCTCTACTTATATTATTGGTTCTGTAGTAAGACTAAAATATTAAAACTTGTGTGAAAAATAGCTGGGTGTTGTGATATGTACCTATAGTCCCAGCTACTTGGGAGTTTGAGGTTGCCTGAACCCAGGAGTTTGAGAACCACCTGGGCAGCGTCACAAGACTGCATCTGATTGATTTTTTTAAATTATACTAAGTTCTGGGCTACATATGCAGAACGTGCAGGTTTGTTACACGGGTATACACGTCCTATCGTGGTTTGCTGCATCCATCCCCCATCATCTACATTAGGCATTTCTCCTAATGTTAACCCTCCCCAATCTCTCCACCCCCTGCTATCCCTCCCTTTTCCCCCTCTCCTCCCAACAGGCCCTGGTGTGTGATGTTCCTCTCCCTGTGTCCCAGTGTTCTTATTGTTCAACACCCACTTATGAGTGAGAACATGCAGTGTTTGGTTTTCTGTTCTTGTTTTCTGAGAATGATGGTTTCCAGTTTCATTCATGTACCTGCAAAGGACATGAACTCACCCTTTTTTATGGCTGCATAGCATTCCATGGTGCATAAATGCCACATTTTCTTTATCCAGTCTATCATTGATGGGCATTTTGGGTTGGTTCCAAGTCTTTGTTAAACACTGCTGTAATAAACATATATGTGCATGTGTCTTTATAATGATTTATAAACCTTTGGGTACATACCCAGTAATGGGTTTGCTGGGTCAAATGGTATTTCTAGTTCTATATCTCTGAGGAATTGCCACACTGTCTTCCACAGTGGCTGAACTAATTTACACTCCCACCAACAATGTAAAAGTGTTCCTATTTCTACACATACTCTCCAGCATCTGTTGTCTCCAGATTTTTTAATGATCACCATTCTAACTGGCATGAGATGGTATCTTCATGTGATTTTGATTTGCATATCTCTGACTGATGATGATGAGCTTTTTTTCATGTTTTTTGGCTGCATCAATGTCTTCTTTTGAGAAGTGTGTTCATTTCCTTTGCCCACTTTTTGATGGGGTTGTTTTTTCATGTAAATTTGTTTAATTTCTTTCTAGATTCTGGATATTAGCCCTTTGTCAGATGGGTAGATTGCAAAAATTTTTTCCCATTCTGTTGGTTGCTGGTTCACTCTAATGATTGTTTCTTTTGCTGTGCAGAAGCTCTTAAATTTAATTAGATCCCACTTGTCTATTTTGGCCTTTGTTGCCATTGCTTTTGGTGTTTACTCATGAAGTCCTTGTCTATGCCTATGTCTTGAATGGTATTGCTAGGTTGTCTTCTAGGGTTTTTATGGTATTAGGTCTTATGGTTAAATCTTTAATCCATCTGGAGTTAATTTGTATATAAGGTGTAAGGAAGGGATGCAGTTTCAGCTTTCTGCAGATGGCTAGCCAGTTTTCCCAACACCATTTATTAAATAGGGAAACCTTTCCCCATTGCTTGTTTTTGTCACGTTTGTCAAAGATCAGATGGTTGTAGATGTGTGGCGTTAATTCTGAGGACTCTCTTCTATTCCATTGGTCTATATCTCTGTTTTGGTATCAGTATCATGCTGTTTTGATTACTGTAGCCTTGTAGTATAGTTTGCAGTCAGGTAGAATGATGCCTCTAGCTTTGTTTTTGTTGTTGTTTGTTTGTTTTGCTTAGGATTGTCTTGGCTATGCGGGCTCTATTTTGGTTCCATATGAAGTTTAAAGTAGTTTTCCAATTTTGTGAAGAAAGTCTGTGTAGCTTGATGGGGTAGCATTGAATATTTTGGGCAGTACAGCCATTTTCACAATATTGATTCTTCCTAACCATAAGCATGGAATGTTTTTGCATCTGTTTGTATCCTCTCTTATTTCCCTGAGCAATGGTTTGTAGTTCTCCTTCAAGAGGTCATTTCAACCCTTGTTAGATGTATTCCTAAATATTTTACTCTCTTTATAGCAATTGTGAATGGGAGTTCACTCATGATTTGGCTGTTATTGGTGTACAGGAATGCTTGTGACTTTTCTTAGACTGCTTAAGTTGCTTATCAACTTAAGGAGATTTTGGGCTGAGACGATGGGGTCTTCTGAATACACAATCATGTCATCTGCAAATAGAGACAATTTGACTTCCTCTTTTCCTAGTTGAATAGCCTTTATTTCTTTTTCTTGACTGATTGCCCTGACCAGAACTTCTAATACTATGTTGAGTAGGAGTGATGGGAGAGGGCATCCTTGTCTTGTGCCAGTTTTCAAAGGGAACACTTTCAGTTTTTGCCCATACAGTATGTTATTGTCTGCAAGTTTGTCATAAATAGCTCTTATTTTAAGATACGTTCCATCGATACCTAGTTTATTGAGTTTTTAGCATAAAGCACTGTTGAATTTTATCAAAGGCGTTCTCTGCATCTATTGAGATAATCATGTGGTTTTTGTCTCGGTTCTGTTTATGTGATGATGGATTATGTTTATAGATTTGCGTATGTTGAAACAGCCTTGCATTTCAGGGGTAAAGCTGACTTGATCTTGATGGATAAGCTTCTGCATGTGCTGTTGGGTTCAGTTTGCCAGTATTTTATTGAGGATTTTGCCATCAATGTTCATGGATATCGGCCTGAAATTTTCTTTTTTCGTTGTGTCTCTGCCAGGTTTTTGTATCAAGAAGTTGGTCTCATAAAATGAGTTAGGTTCTCAGCCCAAAATCTCCCGAAACTGATAAGCAACTTCAGCAAAGTCTCAGGATACAAAATCAATGTGCAAAAATCACAAGCTTTCCTATACACCAATAACAGACTTAAAGAGAGTCGTATCAAGGATGAACTGCCATTCACAATTGCTACAAAGAGAATAAAATACTTAGGAATACAATTAACAAGAAACGTAAGGATCTCTTCAAAGAGAACTACAAACCACTGCTCAATGAAATAAGAGAGGACACAAACAGATGGAGAAACATTCCATGTTCATGGTTAGGAAGAATCAAATCGTGAAATGGCCATACTGCCCAAAGTAATTTACAGATTCAACGCTATCCCCTTCAAGCTACCAATGACCTCCTTCACAGAACTGGAAAAAGACACCTTAAACTTCACATGGAACCAAAAGAGAGCCTGCATAGCCAAGTCAATTCTAAGCAAAAAGAACAAAGCTGGAGGCATCATGCTACCTGACTTCAAACTATAGTACAACGCTACAGTAATCAAAACAGCATGGTACTGGTACCAAAACAGAGCTATAGACCAATGGAACAGAACAGAGGGCTCGGAGGCAACGCCACACATCTACAACCATCTGATCTTTGACAAACCTGACAAAAACAAGCAATGGGGCAAGGATTCCCTGTTTAATAAATGGTGTTGGGAAAACTGGCTAGCCACGTGCAGAAAGTAGAAACTGGACCCCTTCCTGACACCTTATACTAAAATTAACTCCAGATGGATTAAAGACTTAAACATAAGACCTAACACCATAAAAACCCTAGAAGAAAATCTAGGCAAAACCATTCAGGACATAGGCATAGGCAAGGACTTCACGACCAAAACACCAAAAGCATTGGCAACAAAAGCCAAAATAGATAAAAGGGACCTAATCAAACTCCACAGCTTCTGCACAGCAAAAGAAACAGTGATTAGAGTCAACTGGCAACCAACAAAATGGGAAAAAAATTTTGCAATCTACCCATCTGGCAAAGGGCTGATATCCAGAATCTACAAAGAACTAAAACAGATTTACAAGAAAGAAACAAGCCCATTCAAAGGTGGGTAAAGGATATGAACACTTTACAAAGGAAGACATATACGAGGCCAACAAACATATGATAAAATGCTCATCATCACTGGTCATTAGAGAAATGCAAATCAAAACTACATTGAGATACCATCTCACACCAGTTAGAATAGCGATCATTAAAAAATCTGGAGACAACAGATGCTGGAGAGGATGTGGAGAAATAGGAACACTTTTACACTGTTGGTGGGAGTGTAAACTAGTTGAACCATTGTGGAAGATAGTGTGGTGATTCCTCAAGGACCTAGAAATAGAAATTCCATTTGACCCAGCAATCCCACTACTGGGTATATATCCAAAGGATTATAAATTGTTCTGCTATAAGGACACATGCACACAAATGTTCATTGCAGCACTGTTTACAATAGTAAAGACCTGGAACCAACCCAAATGCCCATCGATGATAGACTGGACAGGGAAAATGTGGCACATATATACCATGGAATATTATGCAGCCATAAGAAACGATGAGTTCGTGTCCTTTGTAGGGACATGGATGAACCTAGAAATCATTATTCTCAGCAAACTGACACAAGAACAGAAAATCAAACAACGCATGTTCTCACTCATAGAAGGATAAAGCATTCAAAGCACCATCTTGGAAACAGAGACTGGATTCCTGCTAGACTACAAACTTGCTGGTGCTTTGATCTTCCCAGACTATAAAACCATGAGAAATATATTTCTGTTGTTTATGAATTACTGATATCACATATTCTGTTAGATAGTATAGCTCTATATAAGATTCTTTGTTGAAAGTCTTTTTGTGTTGTTTTGTTTTTTTGAGATGGAGTTTTGCTCTTGTTGCCCAGGCTGGAGTGCAATGGCATGATCTCGGCTCACAGCAACCTCCACCTACCTGGTTCCACTGATTCTCCTGCCTCAGCCTCCCAAATAGTTGGGATTATAGGCATGTGCCACCACACCCTGCTAATTTTGTATATTTAGTAGAAAGGGGGTTTCTCCAAGTTGGACTCACTGGTCTCGAACTCCTGACCTCTGGTAAACCACCCATCTAGCCCTCCCAAAGTGCTGGGATTACAGGCATAAGCCACCACGCCCTGCCAAAAGTCTTTTTATTTCAGAACTTTGAACATTTTTTTTTTTTTGAGAACTTTGAACATATTACGGCACTGTCCTCTGCCTTTCATAATTTCTGATGAGAAATCAGCCATTGATTTGCTGAAGATCCCTTCTCAGTGGTGAGATGCCTGTGTCTTGCTGCTTTCAAAGTTTTCTATCTTTTAATAATTTGATTACGATGTTTTTATTGTTCATCTCTGAATTTTTCCAATTTGGAGTTTATTGAATTTCTTAAATGTGTGGATTAAAGTTTTAAATTAAAAAAAAAAAAAAAAATTAGCGGGGCATTGTGATGCATGCCTATAATCCCAGCTACTCAGGAGGCCAAGACACGAGAATCCTTTGAACCTGGGAGGCAGAGGTTGCAGTGGGCCAAAATTGAGCCACTGCACCCTAGCCTGGGCAACAGAGCAAGACCCTGTCTCAAAAACAAAAAAAAAAAAATTAAAAGAAAAATTTTTTAAGTATACTTACTTAGTTTCTCCATTAGAATGTCAGCTCCAGGTGGGCTGCTGAATCCTCAGTACATAAAACAATGCACAGCAGGTGCTGAACAAATACTTGTCATCCACTGTAGGAAAAAAAATATCAAATCATACAAAAAGATGTAAAATAAAAAGTATATTGTCTTCACTTCCATCAGTTCCTCTCCTCCAAAGTGACAGTCTGATGCATACTTTTAGAAGAAAATGTACCTAAATACAGGTTTTTAAAAAATACTTTGACAGATTTAAATGGATCATACTGTCCATAGAGTTCTTTGTGTAGTTAATATATTATCTGGGTACATTCTGATCTGCTTTGTTTTTTGGGGGTTTTTGTTTTTAGTTTGGGTTTTGAAATGGGGTCACTCTCTCCCAGGCTGGAGTACAGTAGTTGATCATAGCTCACAACAACCTCGAGCTCCTGGGCTCAAGCAATCCTCCTGGTTTAGCTTCCCAAGTAGCTGGGACTGCAGGTGCACTGCTGCCATATCGGGCTTGCTTCATTTGTGTTCATGATGCATGCTTGTCTGGAATGTGGATGTGCCCTGCTGGTTTTTCCCTGTTTTCTACTATCATGATCCATGCTACAATGAGTGTCCTGGTGCCTGTACTGGGGTACAGTGACAGGTCTATCCCTGCCTAGCTGGCTTTGAAAAGTTTAAAGACAACAGTGCAGGCCGGGCACAGTTGCTCACACCTGTAATCCTAGCACTGTGGGAGGCAGAGGCAGGGGTGGATCACCTGAGGTCAGGAGTTCAAGACAAGCCTGACCAAAATGATGAAACCCCGTCTCTTCTAAAAACACAAAATTAGCTAGGTGTGGTGGCTCATGTCTGTAATTGCAGCTACTCCGGAGGCTGAGGCAGGAGAATCACTAGAACCCAGGAGGCAGAGGTTGCAGTGAGCCGAGATCACACCATTGCACTCCAGACAGGGAGTGAACAAGAGTGAAACTCCATCTCAAAAAAAAAAAAAAAAAAAAAAAATAACAGTGCAACTTACCATTTTGCAAAGCTGGCCCCATGTCAGGAGACTGTATAGAGATGGACTATGGAAATTGCCTTTTAAGCACAGTTAAAAACAGTTAATGGTGAAAGATGACTTCAGATGATGCCCCATATCTTTTCTGTCTTTTTATTATTAACTGTGTCATTCTTTTTGTAATGTTGTGCTCATTACAACTATTCCTTCTTGGTCAGGTTGACAAATTTTTCTATGAACCAACATTAAACATTTTTATAAATATAAAACTTATCTGTTAAACTACCACCTGCTTCATGTTAGCTGAGTTGCAGGTGGAATGTTTAAGGAAGTTCTAGCCTTTTCAGCATTTGTGAAAGTGTGCTCATGCCGACACTGAATTTTCTTAGTCTTACCTTAAATCTCTCAGAGTCTGGACCTGCAAGAGAGATGGTGTTCAAATTCAAGCCTGCATCAGAATCATCCTGATAGCTTAATATATTTGGTTGGTTGACTGATTGATTGATTGAGATGGAGTATCACTCTGTTTCCCAGGCTGGAGTGCTGTGGCGTGATCTTGGCTCACTGCATCCTCCGCCTCCTGGGTTCAAGTGATTCTTTTGCCTTAGCATTTGAGTAGCTGGGATTACAGGCATGCAACACCACACCTGACTAGTTTAAAAAATATTTTTTAGTAGAGATGGTGTTTCACCATATTGGCCAGGCTGGTCTCAAACTCCTGACCTCAGGTGATCCATTTGCCTCGGCCTCCCAAAGTGCTGGGATTACAGGCGTGAGCCACTGTGTTGGCCGATAGCTTGTTACTATAAATCAGCTTTCTGGGCCCCACGCAGATTTTCAGTTTAGTAGGTCTGGGTGGCGCCTGGGTATCTGCATTCCTAACACATCCCCAGGTTCTGCTGCTGCTGGTCCAGGTCAACATGCAGAGACACACTGGAGTTGATCCTAATTACTCAAAGTGTGGTCCATGGACCAGCAGCCATGGCATCACCTGGTGCTTATTAACAGTGCAGAATTTTAGGCCTCAGCCCAGATCCACTGAAACAGAATTTGAATTGTAACTAGTTCTCTAGGTGGTGTGTATAGACAATGAAGTTCAAGAGACACTGAAAGTAGGAGTAAAGAAACTTTTTCTGGAAACTTCCAGCATTCCAGGCCATATGGTCTTTATCACAAATACCTGTCTCTTCCTGCGTAGTGGAAAAGCAGCCTTAGATAATACGGAAATCGATGGGTGTGACTGTGTTCCTGTAAACATGTTTTTAGAAATACTAAAATTTAAATTTTACAGAATTTGCATCTGTCAGGTAATATTGTGTTGATTTTTTTTTCACCATTAAAAATATGAAATCTGGGGCCAGGCGTGGTGGCTCACGCCTGTAATCCCAGCACTTTGGGAGGCCGAGGCAGGTGGATCACAAGGTCAAGAGATCGAGACCATCCTGGTCAACATGGTGAAACCCCGTCTCTACTAAAAATACAAAAAATTAGCTGGGCATGGTGGCATGTGCCTGTAATCCCAGCTACTCAGGAAGCTGAGGCAGGAGAATTGCCTGAACCCAGGAGGCAGAGGTTGCGGTGAGCCGAGATCACGCCATTGCACTCCAGCCTGGGTAACAAGAGCGAAACTCCGTCTCAAAAAAAAAAAAAAAGAAAAAAA